CGCCCGGCTGCAGGGCTGCCCGCGGTCCCGGAGTTCCTAACTCCCTAAAGTCAGCCCCAGCCCGAGGTTAGGAGGGGCCCGGAGAGGCTTCAGGAATGAGTAAATTAATTACAGACACCGTTTATGTCACATCCGCTGGGAGCACGGAGGGAGCCCGGGGCTGTCGCCTTTTCGGGAGCAAAAAACGGGATTGATGCAACTTCCTGCGGGTTTCGGGAGTCGGAGCCGCTGTTACCGCCGTGTTTTGCTCCAGAACGTCCCGCTGGGATTTACAGCTGGGTACAGAGCGGGTGAGATGTCCGTCCTTGCGCTTCTCCGCAGAGGTGCCGCCGTGCCCGGGACCCCCGTGCCATGATCACATCCCGCTCCGCCTGGCACCTGGGATCCGGGCCCAACGCCGGAGCCGCCTGGAACGCCAAGGACCTTGCCCCGGACGGTGAGTACGGCACGGTGGCTTGTCCCTTGTCCTTGCCCCTTGGGGCTCAGCCTGCTGCACTCACGCCCTGCTCGCTGGGGAAGGAGAGGCTGGGAACAGGCCAGCCCGCATTTTTCACATTTCTTTCCGGATGAAGGTCAAGATTTGAGAAACGGGGACTCAGAAGCAGGCACAAAGCTCTGGGCAGCCTGCTGGTGAGAAGGGAGGGCTGCCTCCATCTCCCTGCTGGCCCCTCTGAGCGGGAATCGTAGGGAAAAAGGTTAAAATTTAACATGTAAGATAGAAAACAGAGTGATCTGCATGGCAGGGTGAATGCAGGCCCTTTGCTCTTCCCAGCCTTGGCTCCTTGAAAGGCTCCTTGTCCCTCCCTGGTGCATGGACCCCATGGGTGAGTTTAGTCGGAGTTCTGCTCTGTGGAGGCTGAGCTGCTTTGCAGGCAGGCGGGCAGCTGCCTGCCCCAACCTGCAGCTGCTTGCTGGGAAACAGCCCTTCCCTTCCCACCTCCCTCTCCGATGGTGCTGAATGGGATTGGCAAAGGGGGAGGCTGAACCCCCTGATTTGAACTTCTTTTGCTCCTGGCTTCAGCATTTGCCTTCATCCCTCCGTGCTGGCAGACACTTCTCTGGGCACTGCTTCATCTCTGGCACTAAGGCCAGTCCAGCCAAATGCTGGTTGGCACCAAAGCCTCCAAAACCAGGGTTTTCAGCTCTTTCTCTGCCCAACGGCTGCTGCTGCCTGTGCCAGGATGGGGAAATCGTCTCCTGTTATCCAGCACTTTGGAAACGCTCAATTTTCATGGCGTGTGCAAAATGTTATGGACAATTAGAGGCTGGGAAGAAGTCCAGAGTGGTGGACTAACTTCATAAGGGCACATCTCCCTCTGGACATTGGTTCCACCTTTGGCCCAACTTCCTCTGTGTGGTTTTAGGGAGAAAAGGCTGCATTATTGTGGTTTGATTTGTGAACGATTGATTTTTCCCCTGCCAGCTGGAGAAGAGATTTGGCCACCCGCAATGGTGGCAGCACTTGTGGCAGACAGGTAGGGGGACAGAGGGTCCCCAAGCAGTGGGATGTAGCCCTTGCCAGCTGCTTTTCCTGTGGCAGAGGAGGACACAGCCATGGGAGAAGGTTCCTTGGGTTGCTGTTTCCTCCTGTGTGGCTCAGCAGGACAGGGAAGTGCTGCCCTGGCTGCTTTCGGGTCTGGCTGCCTGACAAATGAAGGAAATATTTGGGGGCAGTGGAGGGAGGGTCCGTCTGTCTGGTTTGGGTGATGCAAGCTGGCTTTGGCAGCTTTGCCAAGATAGGATTGTAGGAAGTGGAGCAGCTTGGCCAGGGGTAGAGCTGGGATATCCTTGGTCGGGGCACAGACCTGGTCATGCCAAGGCCAGACAGAAGCTACACCCTGAATTCTCATTACTAGTCATTGGCAACCAGTCTCCGCCCCCCGGAGGGCTAATTTTTCTAATTAACATAATTAACATTTTTAATACAAGTCATGCGCTGTCTCTGCCACGCCGGTGTGGTGGCGGCAGCAGCGAGGAGGAGGAGGGGGATTTGCTGAGCTGGCCGAAGGCTGTGTGTGTGCTCCCAGGTGGATCCAGTGATGCTCTTTGCTCCATCCCAGGCCGTGGGCAGGACGGGCTCGGCGCTGGGGGCGGAGCAGGAGCCGCTCCCAGGGCTCCTCTGCTGCCGGCGCTGCTGCACCAGAAAATCCTCAGCGTGAGCTGGCCGGACTCTGCCAACCCCCGTGGGCTCTGCCGGGCGCTGCAGGTGAGGAATGCTGAGCCGGCCATGGGATGTACGGGGAGGGAGTTGTAGGGTGATGGGGAGGATGCCCTGCACCCATCCAGGTGGGAGCCAACTGGTTCTTCCATCCCTCAGCACAACCAGGTTGTATCTGGAGCCCTGCAGTGTGTGCCTCGAGCAGAGCTGCTGCCTGGGTGGGAAGGGAAAAGCATCTCTGGGGAGTGAAAAGGCATCAATGGGGAGCAGTGTTCATAACAGAATAGCATTTCTGGGTCACTTACAGGTCATGCTGGCAGGAGAGCTCAGGGCAGAGGTGTGATAAGGAAATGCAGTGCCGTGAGGTGGTGTTTGCCAGTGGGATGGAGGAGAGGAGGTGGCAGGGTGCCACGGCCAGGGACAGTGTCGGGACACCACGTACTGGTGTAGCTGCCACGAGTTCATTCCAGGCTCCAGGCAAATCATTCAAATCCCCTTCTTTGAAAAGAAGGAAAACACCTCCTTATCACACACCAGCCTCGATGAATTCCCTTCGGCAAAACCCCTCTGGAGTCACAGATGCAGTGGCACCGCAGACACGCGGCCTCTCCAGGAGGATGCTGCTGCCTCCTTCCAAATTACTCCCAAATTACTGGCATGTACCAAGTGTCTGCCCCTGTGCTGGAATGAGGTTTCCCCAGCATCACTGGCCTGTGGGGTGATGCCACAGGCTCTGAGATAAGATTTGAGAAAGAAAAGGCATTATTGAGCAGGGTGAACTTGGCTGATAATCCCCTTTTATAGCAGCCTTATGAAAGCTCCCTTCAGATTTCTTCTGATTTTTTTTGGAGCTCCATCTCCCAGGGCATGAGCCATGCCTCTAAGTCAGAGTCTCTTTCTTTTGAAGGCCATAGGGAGAAAAATAGGAAATATTCAGTACAGCTGTGTGGCCAAGCTGAGCACAGTTTTTTATGTGGAGAACTAAAAACATGATAAGTTCATTGTGGCAGCTTCCCAACACAGAACTCCCTTGGAGGGAGGGTTTCCCCAAGCTCTGCTGTTGTGAGTTCTGCACTTCCCGCCCTGCTCCCTCCTCCTGGCCAGCCCTGGGACGTGCCAGCTGCTGGCACCGTGTCCAGCCCGGTGTGGGTTGTCACTGTCCCAGCTCCCTGCCCTGTGTGTGCCACAGGCCCTGCGGGACACGACGTGCAAGCGGCGGGAGGAGCCGCGGCACCGGGGCACAGAGGAGGAGCCGCCCGCAGCCCCCCGTGAGCCAGCGGCCGTGCAGGCAGCCCCCACCATGAACGTGGAGAAAACAGGTGAGAAAACACGAACCTGGACAAAACAGAGAGCAGGGGTGCAGTGCTGGGTGCTCGGGATGGGATGGGATGGGATGGGATGGGATGGGATGAGGGCTTGGTATCTGCCCGTGGGTATCGAGGAAACCTCTCCTCTGTTGGGGTGCATGTAGATGTGTGGCTGAGCTCACTGTGGGAACAGGGCTCAGGAGAAACCCAACACCAGCCAGCTGCTGGCTGCTGACAGGGACTGATGAATTATTGAGCTGGATGAACAGAGCAGGTGAGCTCCAATGAACCTGCTGCTGTTTCCTCCTTCTTAAGGGAAATGTAACGCGTGTGGAAATGCTTGCAGCATGCATGGCTGTGCCAGGATGGGGAAATCCCAAAGTCCCAGAGTTTCCTGTCTTTTTTTGGTCAGGATTGAATTGTGTGAGCTTGCCAGGGCACGTCTGGGGAGCTGCTCCTGGTCTGGTCCCAGCTGCATCCCAGAGCAGCTCCTGAGGCGGGACAGTGGCTGGGAAGGGGCAGGGATGCAGGAGAAAGGGGGTCAGGGTCTGACTGGCAGTGGTTACAGGGCAGAACTGAGGAACAGGTGTTTTTCCAAATGGCTTTCTGAATTTTGCAAATTTCTGCATTTTGGAAAGCAGGAGGGTCACTGTGAAAGCTGGTGTTCCTGGCAACTTTGGAGATTTCAGGGTGGGATTTTTGGTTTTTTGTTTTGGGTTTTTTGTGTGTTGATTTTAAAGAGAAGACCACGGTCCTCTGCCTGAGCTGGGCTGAGCTTTCAGCATGGAAAGAAAGAAAAGCCAGCACCTTCCAGTGCTGTTTTGGAGTATCCAAGCCATGGCAGGAGGACAAAACCTGTTGATCACTTCTGCAACCACTGCTGGATAAGCCCCATGGTGTGCAGTCAGCAGCAGAGTTGTGGTTTGGTCCCAGCATTTCAGCTTTTTGCAGGTTATGCTGCCTCCCCAACTCCATTTAGGGGTAGAAAATCTGACTCGCAGACAAAAAAGTCTCTTTTTGCATTCAGGACGTTTCCCATGAAGCAGGCAGCATCTTCCCACAGGCAGCACAGGGATTCCCAGCAGCAGCTCCTGCCTGTGAAACCTCAGGTTTCTGAAATCCACAGCAGGCAGGGAAGGGCGCCGGGCAGCCGGGATCCTGTCCGTCCATCCTGCCGCCTCATCCCACACTGGGGATGAGTCACGCCAGCTCATTGCTTCTTGGGAACTACCAGGTCATTTGGTAGGCTCTGATGTACGGCCAGGTTGGCTTCTGTCAGCACTGGTGGCTCTATTAACATGCAGAAAGTGATGTTTAAAATAATGCTAGGAAGGTTAGAAAGCCAAACGCACAAGGATTAGGCAATATGGCCACTGAGGGTACCTGTATAATTTAAATTTTGCTTCCATTATGTTTGTGTGTAATGACGCAGACGCTAATGACATGATCACACACTGCTTTCCACGGGCACCTGCTCATTCAGAAGAAAGGGTGCCGGGGTGAATCAGCGTCCTGCTGAGGGCGGTTGTTATCTGAGCGAGGCAGCAGCACTGCACTGTGTGGTGGGGCTGGGTCACGGTGCACTGCTGGGGGCAGCTGCTCGGTGCTGTGGCCTGGGATGCTCTGCTGGCACCTGCAGATCCCTCTGGCTCCCACCCAGCTGGAGCCCACTGCCAGCCAGGCCTGCTGTGCTGAGCACCTTGGCACTTGGGATGTGCCTCTGACACATCCCTGTGCAGGTCCAGTTTCCTGCATTCCCATCTGCAGCTCAGCCCCTGGGGACTCCCCATGGCTGCCATTCTGCTCCCCAGCCCCGTGGCTGTGCCCTGACCAGCTCCATCTTTGCTCACGCTGCAGGAGGGAGGCTCTGCAGTGGGAAACGTGCCAGCCTGGCCACGGCCCGGCCCTTCCCCGTGATCCAGGAGGTGATGGCCTCCATGGCACATCTGCAGAAGGAGAAGCTGAGGCTGCAGGAGGAGCTGCTGGAGATGCAGGAGAAGCTCGCTGCCCAGGAGAACAATGAGCTTTCCCTCTCTCTCCAGCTGCAAGGCCAGGTATGGAGGGGACAGGGTGACACAAAGGGGTTCATCAGGGTCTTGTCTGTGGCTTGGCTGGAGCTCTGTGGCAGTTGGTGGTGGCTGCACTTGGAAGGAGTGTAGGATCTCCATCATTGAGCATCTCCTTTGCTGGGTGCTCCTGAGCATTGGCTCTGGCTGCGCCTCCCTTGGGAAGCTTGCAGTCCCCAGTGGCACTGCAGTAGTGCTGACAAGGCTGTGTGGCTCTCTGGGCATGACATGGCCAGGAGGGCTTTGGGCATCAGGATGCAGCTCTGCACCAGTCATCCATGCACTCAGCACAGCATGGCTGCCACGGGGTCAGCTTGTGAGACTGACCTAGCAGTTTAATTTTAGTGACTTTCAGCAGGTGGAAAGTGAATGTGAAGGCGCAGAATGGCTTAATGAAGGGACAGGTTTTGGCCACTGTGACACTCCCCCCAAAAGCACCTCCTGCACTGATGCAGGCACATCCCCAGCACGAGTACTTGGGTCGTCTCAGGGACATGGAAATTTTGCCTGCTCGTAAAGAGATTTGCATGTGGCTGTTGTGGAAGCTGTTGCAGTCAGGTTCTGCTTGTTCCACGGGTGTCAAAAGGAGGAGGTAATTGTCCTGCATTTGGTTGGCATGCTCTGCATGACACAAGCGTGAGCGCAGCGGGACCTGGCCCTGCGCTCGCCACTTGGGCAGCAGGCGCAGCTGGCGCCGGCCGGAGCCAGGAGCTGCCCCAAACCTCCAAAGCTCTGGGATGGCCGGGCCACGGCTCGAGCCAGACCCAGCTGCCAAAGAGTCCCTGTCACGTCCAGAGAGCAGGATGCAGCTGGAGATGCCCGAGCAGGTAGGAAAGGAGGAACATTGCCGGCATAGGGGATGGTGGGCAGGCTGCGGCGTGTGCGCCGGCTGATTGGGCTGGCGGCTTTCCCGGAACAAGCCGCGACTCTTTTCTTCTCAGTGCCTCCCCTCCCTTAAAAATACTTATAAAAATAGCTTAATAATCTCTCTCAGTGGATATGGAAATGGGGTTTTCCCACTCAGGCACTCAGCACTCCCAGTCAGAGCCAGGGAGATTTGCTGTGGAAGGAGCGGGATCCCGATCCGGGCTGGAGCAGCCGCTGTTCCCCACCTGTAGCTGGGGAGCTCCAGCTCCCAGCTGTGCCAATACAGGGCACACAGAGGGGCTGCCCACCCTGCTGCCATCTCTGCAAGGGCGTGGCTGAATAATTTACCAGATTAATTACAGCCCCATCTCAGCACATCTGCATTGGTTATTAATCAGCAGTTCCTAAATTATGGTCCGTGGAGAGCCGGTTGCTGGCTGGTTATTGGGATGGGGCAATACCCAGGCGTGTCCCAGAGAGGGCTTTGGCAGCTTTCTGGAGTGGGGAAAGTGGGAGCAGGGCTGGGATCTGGGGGATGGTTGTCAAGTAGGGACAGAGCAGATCGGTAAACCCCACTGTGACACAGCCCATGACACTGCTGGCTTTACCATGCACTCACTGCTGCTGTTTATTCCAATAACTGCAGATTTTGGGAGAGTTTCACTGATCTCTGCACAAAAAAAGGTTGAGGATTTTTAAGATCCATGTGGTTTTGCAGGGAGGGCAGCCTGGTCCCATGAGATGGGTGGATGCCCAGATGGGGGTTGATGGAGAGCATCATCCTATGGGACTCAGACATGGTTTTCTTGAAGAGGTCTTGCTCCCTCTTTGTACCAAGATAACTTTCCTAGAAAGAAAAATAGAGAACGTAGAGCAAAGCTGGTTGTGAGGGCAGGACAAAGCTCTTCAAACACAGTTATGGATGGGTTTGTTTTTACCCTTCTCCAAAGATGATGCCTTTTTATTTTTTTAATAATGGTTTCTGCTAGTGCTCAACATGGACAAATTATACCCATGGTTGAACAAGGTCAAAGCAAAGCTTTCATTAATGCTCATTTTAATCTGCTCGTGTGAATCAGGCGCTCAGAGCCAGGTGGAAAATTAAAGCATAACAAAAGTGTGAGCCAGACTGGACATGTGTGGCTGGGGCAGCACCGCGGGGTCTCCTCCAGAAGCTGCTGAGGTGCCTCCTGGTTAACCTGGTCTGTGTTGACAGGTGGAAACTCTGAAGGAAAAGCTCCTGGAGCAGGCACAGGAGATCAGCCGGCTGCGCTCGGAGCTGGTGAGCAGCCACTGGGGTGGGACTGAGCCACCCTTGCCCTGAGGGACGCTGGAGCTCTGGGTCACTGAGGAGGAAGAGGGAACACGGGGTGGGTGGAGATGGATTAAACCTCCCCCAGGTCAGTTTGGACCGTGCAGGCCAAGAGACACCGAGGAGCAAAAGTGTGGGATTTTCTGTGCAATGCAGTGTGTGGCACTGGTGACCCTGGGGCTGTCACCCTGGGGTGGGAAGTGAAAGCCCCTCTGTGGGCTGGGGCTCCCTGGGGGCAGCAGGAGGCTCATCAGTGCAGCAGGCTGAGTGTTCCCAAAGGGCCGGCAGGGCCTCCCTGGGAATGGCACACTGGGGGATCAGTGAGGGCAGCAGGCTGGGACTCACTGGGGAGCCTGGAGATTCCATGTCCTCTCGCACCCGCTCCAGGGTGGCACGGATGCCGAGAAGCACCGGGACCTGCTGGCGGCCGAGAACGAGCGCCTGCGGCAGGAGATGAAAGCGCTGGAGGGGGAGCTGCAGCGGCAGCAGCAGGCGCCGTGCCGCGACTGTCCCCACCTGCAGGTGAGGCCCCGGAGGTGGCCGTGGTGGTGGCAGGGTGACGGGCACCCATGGGTGACATGGCCCTGGCTGTCCTGTCCTTCACCAGGAGAAGGCCGAGCTGCAGGAGCAGCTGTCGCAGCTGCAGCGGGAGGCAGAGGAGACGCGGGCCAGGCTGGTGGAGCTGGACCTGGAGGTGCAGCAGAAGACGAACCGCCTGGCTGAGGTGGAGCTGCGGCTCAAGGACTCCCTGGCTGAGAGAGCCGAGGAGGAGGAGCGGCTCAGCCGGCGGCTGCGGGACAGCCAGGAGACCATTGCCAGCCTCAAGTCCCAGCCCCAGCAGATCAAGGTGAGCTCTCCATTTTTCCTGGCTGGGCTGGATGCCTTACAGTGCCTGGTAGGTGCCCTGCAAGTGCCACCTGTCTCTCTACCCTGAGCACATCAGCTCAGCACCATGATTTCCTAAATTATCTCCCCCTGGGCCAGCAACAGCTCCACCCCAGGCCCTTCAGGTGCTGTTTCCCCAGCACACCCCATCTGTGGGTGCTTTCCCCTGCAGTACATCATCAAGACGGTGGAGGTGGAGTCAGCCAAGGTAAAACAAGCCCTGTGCGAGACCCAGTCCCGAAACCAGTACCTGCAGGAGCAGGTGGGGATGCAGAAGCAGGTGCTGAAGGAGATGGAGCAGCAACTGCAGAGCTCCCAGAAGACGGAGGCTCAGCTCCGAGCTCAGGTCTGAGTGCGATAAATGTAAATCAGAGCTCCCCCCCATTCTCTGCCTGCCTGGTACTTGCCAGGTAACACAGTGTGGCAGCAGGTGGGCACTCACTCAATGTCACCCCCCACTGTCCCTCTCCCAGATCATGATGTACGAGGCTGAGCTGGAGCGAGCCCATGGGCAGATGCTGGAGGAGATGCAGGCGATGGAGGACGAGAAGAACCACGCCATTGAAGAGGCATTTTCCCGTGCCCAGGTGGAGATGAAGGCGGTGCATGAGAACCTGGCAGGTGAGGAGGGTGCAGGGGGCTGGCAGGGTTGCCTGACTGGTGTTGGGGCGTCACCATCTGCCCCTCACCCTGCCTCATGCCTGCAGGTGTCCGGACCAACCTGCTGACGCTGCAGCCGGCGCTGCGCACCCTCACCCACGACTACAACAGCCTGAAGCGCCAGGTCCGCGACTTCCCCCTGCTTCTCCAGGAGACCCTGCGCAGCGCCAGGGCCGAGGTGAGCCCCCCAGGACCCCCACCCAGCACCCTCCATGCAGGGTGGAGGTGCTGGGGGCTCGCTGAGCCTCTGATCTCTGCTATCCCCAGATCAGCCAGGCCATCGAGGAGGTGCACAGCACCAACCGGGAGCTGCTGCGCAAGTACCGGCGGGAGCTGCAGCTCCGCAAGAAGTGTCACAACGAGCTGGTGCGGCTCAAAGGTGTGCGGGGTGTGGTGTCCCTGAGGTGGGACAGCAGGGACACGGGAGCGTCCCCATAAGGTGGTTGGGTTGGCTGCAGGATGCTTCAGCCCACCCCATGATGGCTGACTCCCTGCTTCTCTCCTCCAAGGAAACATCCGTGTTTTCGGGAGAGTGCGCCCCATCACAAAAGAGGACGGGGAGGGCCCTGAGGCAGCCAACGCTGTGACCTTTGATGCTGATGATGATGCTGTCCTGCACCTCCTGCACAAAGGGAAGCAGGTGTCCTTTGAGTTGGATAAAGTCTTCCCCCCACAAGCATCCCAGGAGGAGGTGGGTGCTACCGTCCACTGCTGGTGTTGAGGAGGGGAGGCAGCCACCTTCTCCTCACTCTCCCTGTCTCCCCCAGGTGTTTCAGGAGGTTCAAGCCCTGGTCACCTCCTGCATTGATGGCTACAATGTCTGTATCTTTGCCTATGGGCAGACAGGAGCAGGAAAAACCTACACAATGGAGGTGAGTTTGCTTGGCTTTGTTTCCATTTTCTTCCTTGGCTTCCCACCCTGCAGTGTCCAATCTCAATCACCAGGCTGGTGGCCAGCTCAGACTTGGTGTGCACTGCTGCTCCACAACATCCCCCTGGGCTTTGCTTCTGCTCAGAAAAAATACAGAATGGAATGCCAAAGGATGTTTTTTCCCTGTTTGTCACCTCAATCCTTCAGGGGACGGCAGCAAACCCAGGGATCAACCAGCGGGCCCTGCAGCTCCTCTTCTCCGAGGTGCGGGGCAAGGCGGCTGACTGGGACTACACCATCACCGTCAGCGCTGCCGAGATCTACAACGAGGCACTCAGGTACGGGCACGGGCAAGAAACTTATGGACATCACCCCATGCTGCTCTCCCCCACATCCCTCTACCCCTTCCTCGGCCTCACAGCTTGTCCCAGGGCACTGCATTTGGCCCTGCAAGGATTTAGTTTTAATTTATTTGGTGCACGCTGCCCTTCCCATGAGCTCCATCGCTTGCACAGGCTCCCAGCTGTGCCATCACTCCCACTCTCTGACCCTGATGCAGCGGTGGGGGCATCTCCTTCTTTCCCCTTTCCCTGCCCACAGACACTATATTTAGGAATTTGTAACTGGGAGCTGAAAGCATGAGAAATATTTTCCTTCCTAGTCCAGCCACAGGAGGGGAGGAGCCTGGGTTCTCATCCATGAGAATAACCGGGAGCAGGGATGGGAGCGGGGTCTGAGCTGGGTGAGAGGAGGCACATGGGAGCCAAGAGAGTTGAGGTCTATAAATAGGATGTGCAGCTTTCCTGGGAAGAAATGGCTGCTCTGGCAGTGCTGGCACGCAGCTCTGAGCCAGGAATGGATGCCAGCACTCCCTTGGGATGGGAATGATAACAAGTGCCCCTTTGCCCAGGGACTTGCTGGGGAAGGAGCCGCAGGAGAAGCTGGAGATCAAGCTGTGCCCTGATGGCAGCGGGCAGCTCTACGTGCCGGGGCTCACTGAGTTCAGGGTGCAGAGCGTGGAGGACATCAACAAGGTGTGGGGACATGGGGGCAGCGGGCACAGGGGGGTGGCAGCGGGGGTGCAGGGAACTGGGGAGGGGTCTTTGGCGTGTAACTCCTGGATTTGGGACCATTTCTGAAGCCATGGGGAGCAACAGAGACCAAAATAGGTCCCTGGGTGTGATGTGAGGGTCACTGTCCCATGGGATGAGCCACAGGGTGTTAAAAATAAAAGCGTGGGGCCCAGAGAGTTCCTGAGGGATTAGTGGGGTGCGGCTGTCACCGCAGTGCCCTGCTTGTCACCCCTGCCTTTGGTGCATCACCCAAGCTAAGACCTGACAGCGGTCATTACCCTGCTGGGCCAGCACCCCGTGAGGGGCTGATGCTCAGGTTACATCCCTGGATCACAGGGGATTTATGGTGGGACTGAGGCAGGTTGGCCTCACCCTCTCAACTCCCCGGGCTCCCTCAGGTCTTCGATTTTGGCCACATCAAGCGGGTGACAGAGTGCACCAACCTGAACGAGCACAGCTCTCGCTCCCACGCCCTCCTCATCGTCACCGTCCGCGGCCTGGACCGCAGCAC